ATATGTGTATATATATATATATATATATATATATATATATATATATATATATATATATATATATATATACAGGGCTTTACATTAACACCCGCCAAAAGTTAATGGAAAGCCCTGTGTGTGTGGGCTATGTATATGTCCATTTTTTGTTAATTAATAATCTTTTATCAACAGTAATGTTTTGTTATATTTTTTCAGGATTATCACAAGTGCTGTCGTGATGCCTCTACCTAACACCATCACTACACACATACTGTATTTACTTAATCAAAAATGTATTATACACATCACCTTTTTGATAAGGACACTGTATATTGTTTAACTCCTGGTTAACATTTATTGTGATGTAACTGTTTTTCTTTATTAATACTACTAATGCATTGTTTTGGTTTCATATTAAACTTTTTTAAGGCTTCAGTTGTTTTTTCTTTTCACGTCAACAACAACAGCGATATAACACTAATGATGTTTTACTGAAATAAGAATATGTTATTGTATATTAAACAGATTATACCATAACACTAAAAACAAATTTAATTAAAATGTTGTACCTGTAAGACAACAATAGGTAAAATATATTGTTTTTCATAGCTAAAGGTGCAATATACTGTACTTGTGCTAAACCAGGAGGTTGATGTACATTCGACAATTTTACAAAACCGGTATTAGTCTAACATTGCTAGAAAAACTTCAAATATTTATTGCAATCCGAATTGAAAGCCAAAAATGGGGGGGGGGGGGGGGTTGTACACTGTAAAACCCAACAGTCAACTTTATCAAATGTAATGAGTGCAGTTAACTCAAAATTCACTGAAAGTTAATTCTACTCATTTGAAAGGAATTTTGAAGTCAGTGTTCAAGGTAATGAGTTAATTAAATACCTCATTACTTCAACTTAAATAGAGTAAGCTCACAGAACTCATATAGATTAGTTTTGTAATTTGCCTTAACTTACTGGGGTTTACAGTACTCAGTTGGTTTGAGTTATCTTCATTTATTAAGTTTTACTGTACTCAAATTACTTTCTTTACTCAAATGGAGTAAGTTCACAGTACTCATTAGGATTAGTTTAACTCAAATGGTTTGTAGAAATGGGTTTCCTTAAATGGTTTGAGTTGCCTTAACTTTTTAGATTTTGCAGTGTAGTATTTTATTTGGAGGTAATACTAAACATTACCACCAGATGACATACAGACTCCATTGTTGAGCATATAACGGTGCCCATATTTCTGGTCTGAGTATCATGAAGCACATTTTAAAACTTTAACATAAGTCTTTCACAGCATATGTGCAACATTTTTATAAGATTTTCAGCCACACATTATTATAATGATATAAAGTTCACAGTATTAAACTATTAACCAGGACTTTTAGCTCAGTAAACTACTAATTAACTGCTTATTAATCATTTGAAAGGTAGTAGCTGGGTTTGGGTGTTGGGTAGGATTAGGAATGTAAAGTAAACTCATACCTTATAAGGGTTAATAAACAGTTAATATCTTATTAGGCAGGTAATAAACCAGCAGTAAATGGTGTAAATTGTTACGTAATCTAAAGTGTTACCCTAAAGTGTTGTGAAGGTCTATGCTGATCTAACATTGTGATCTGCAAAGTTCACAGTTTTATCGATTACAACTTAATCTAGGCTGTCCTGGCAACAGCTGTGCGTAATGTGACTTGCAATATTGGAAAAGTAGTGATGAAATGCTGGTTTCACTGAAACCACAAGCACTTCTGTCTTAACATTTAAGTTAAAGGCAATTCGCTCTTGACATTGGTGGGGATATACATGCCTAGAGCACATGCACTGAATAGTACAAATTCTGTTTCAAGCCTTTAAAAACATAAATAAAGTACATAATACTGTAAAACAAACACTTAATATTACAAATAAGAATCCCGTCCCATGCTGCAAATGTCAATTCACATGATTTTACTGCAGTCAGGCCTTGAGGAGGTGTGAATGTAGAGAGATTTAGAGAGGTGTGTGATGCAATTTAACAGTTTTATCCTGATTATTATTTTTCATAATCATGGAGGCCAAAATCAAAACTGAATTTTAATTAATTGCACTGCCTTGGTTAATAGTATTACGATGAGCTAGTAGCGAACCTGACTTGGTGGATGTGTAGGTTAAAAGTTGATAGAGCATTACTTTATTTTGAAGCCGATTAAACTATTGGTAGTAACATTTCAGTAATTGCTGGATATTGGTGGGGACATGTCCCCTCCGTCCATGCCAATTCTACACCCATGGTTATTATGATGGGAGAAACAAAGTTTTTCAAATCTTTTTAACTATTGAATCAGCTTCTTTACTCAATTAGTTTGAAAGACCACATGCTGCAGAAACCTGCGGGGCAAAACTGCAACAAACATTCAAAGTGTGTATTAAGATTGCCATTATCAAGCACACTTTAATCTTTAAGATATAAATGCTCTTACTGTAGCATGTCATCTAATATCACTACATATTAAGAGTCTGCATTATGTCTTTTTTTCTAAATATCAAGCCTCAGGGAAGCGCGGGGCACAAAGTAACGCGGAATTCAATCTAACACCAATTTTTACGGTATTTGCTAAGGGTAAACCATGGCATGCTTCCGAGGTTTTCACCACAGTGTCGGCAGATGTCTTCCTGTCAATTATTGAAAAAGTTTGGCGGATGAGAAACACAAGAGAAAGCATTTCTGCAGCATAAATGTATTTTTTATTATAGTCAATTTTTTTTTTTTTTAAAGATGCAGTGAAAGAATGTATGTGAAATCTTACATTTTTGTGATCACCGTCTTCTAGTCTAAAAGATTTTCAAAAGACCATTTTGAAAGGTGTAAAAAACACACAGTGACTGCTAGCCAGTTATAAAAGAAAACAC